AAAAAAAAAAAAAATTGCAAAAACAACAGAAAACTGGCACCTTCAAAATTTTCTGAGCCACCAAACCAAATTCAAGGTATCAGCTGTTTTAACTTTAGAAATATTGAATAGTTCAGAATTGTAGTTGAGACAAGAAGCCAAGTTGTATAAGCAACATCAAGCAGGAGGGGACTTACGTTGGCCTTTACATACTAGTTTTCAAAAGGTGGGAATTGGTTGGAACTTGGAAGCGAAAAGAATTTTTCTTTATTCATCTTTTGGCAATTTGAAGCAAAGTATCTACTATCTATGCTTTGTTTAATTGCCAACCAAACGCTATCTTAATTTTGAGGCTGCTTTGTGCCTTGCGTGATGCTCACTCTTTCATTTCAATTACTTTGGAGAACATTATGTGAGTTTTATATACAAATTAAAAGTTCCCTATGCGGATTGAGTAAAATAGAAGTGCTATAGAAACCCAAGAGAAAGAAAAGAATTCACTATCTCTTGATTCTTGAACAACATAATGGATACAACTATGACGTTAGAAACAAGACACTCTACGTTCATATTACAAGTGAATTCAAATGTTAACTCTGTTTATTGATACCAGATCCCATCATACTACAAATTACCTGGACAATGTAACAAGTAACACATTGACAAATTTGCTAGCAAATATTACAATTGATATTACATTCTAATAGCAAGCAGCACTTCACCACTATGGCAAGAACCAGCCATTGCATTTCTGATTGATGAATTCGGAAGATGACTCATCGGTTTATTCTCACGACTGTAGATACTTCATCTGTTCATAGCAGTCATTTCATTTCAAGAATATAGTGCTATCAGTTAAATTTTAATAAATGAAACGTTTATATTATTCATAGGATAAATAAGAAAAGGAAAGCTTTACAAGATAGAAGTTTTGTCAAGCCAGTAGATAAATTTCAGTTATATCAATGTAGTATCATAAATTTATATTACACAAGGGAGTTGATGAACACCTGCAAGCAATGCTGCAGCTGGAATAGCATTACCTGAAAAACAACATATTGACACAACGAAAACCAAATCAAATGTATATTACACATTGGCTCCAATGATCCTAGCTTCTGCCAATTAGATTGTCCAAGAATTCTCTGCAATGTGTTCAAATGGGTGGCGTTTAGAGTATGGAACAAAGCCCTCAGCCATCCATTTACAAATTAGTGTCAAATAACTAGTAAAGTGGCTTGCTGGAAACAAAACAAAATACGAGAAACATGACTTGAGATGGTAAGGTTGATCATAATAACTTTCAAAAGAAACTGTGTTGTGCACTTCTGACTTTGAGTCCACACTATTCATGAAATTTTTCTTTCCTAGGCAACCTTGTTCTTGTTTGAGAGAAGACCACCTACCGCAACAATGGCTACCAGTAATCCTCCACATTTTGAAAGGATGTAATGGGACAACTTATAAGTTGTATATTGGTCGTATTATGCTCAATTATATTGTCAACTATACAATCATTTGTCAAAAGAAGGGATATTATTTAAACACCTCGAGGTTTACCAAAACCACAGAAACCCCCAGTAATATGGGGATTGATATGAACCCCTGCCGTTAGACTTTTCATTAATTTTTACTGTCTGAAGGAAATGACTTTAATAACCTCACCATCCATGCCCAGCAACCCCAGCCTCAACCCTGAACGGCAATCACCAGCTCATTTACTCTCTTACTCTTAATTCTGTTAAAATTAATGAGAAGTCACTAATGGCAGGGGGTTCAGAACAAGTACCCATATGACGGGGGTTTAAAGGAGTGTTACCATCCAAAGAATTATGTTCTTGTGGGCTGGAGCAAGCTATACTTAGGCTGTTTATATTGGGCTCATGTGTTACTTTGTGTATTGAATTTTGGGCTTTGAACTAGGCTTTCTTCCTCCACTATAAGCTAACATTCTGGAATTATGTTTTTTATAAATATTTTCTTTAAATTTAATTGATAAGCCCTTGGTAACTTCATTTATGGTCTCAGTAAGTAAAATTTTCTCTTTATATAAGCTATTTCACACTAACCATATTCGTAACTCCAGCAATAAGCACTTCAGGACTTTTGCGGGAGCATATGTACATAATTAAGCAACTTCTACAATTTCAAAAGCCAAAAAGCAAATTCAAACTAACATCTGTAATCTGCCCAACTTTAGATCCACCTGCATTTCCTTTTGCAACTCTCAAAAACAACACATTGGTCCCACTGCCCCTCAATCAAAAGATTCTTTTTTCATATCACTTTCTTTATTCCAGTAACAGATTTATTTAAACAAACCACCTCCTCACTCTCCACCTTCTTTCTCATTACTTAACTCACAAGTTGTTTTCTCCAAAGCACTTTAGTCCCAATATGAATTCCCTCCCACATCCACCTGCACCTCCTCCACCCCTTTCACCACCATCACCAGTTACGCCACCTCCACCTCCACCTCCTCCACCCCTTTCAACACCACCACCACTAACAGCCCCACCCGGAAAGCAGGCCACTCAAACTCCTCTTGAACAAATTGGCATCTCAAAGCCATCTATAACAAAACAACATAGTCTAACATTAGCTGCACAAAATCCTGACATCATGAGATCAACCAAGGCACCAATACTCCATCACCCTTGCCCCGCTGCGCAGACCTGTTCCTATGGTTTGGTGCAGCTTTTTGCCTCATATTTAGTCTGCTTCTCATCTTCTTTGGAATCACAACTCTGATCATCTCTTGGTCATTAAACCAAGAAGCCCTGTGTTTGACACTCCCAGTGCTACTCTCAGCACCATCTATTTTGACTTGCCAGAGTATTTCAACAGTGAGTTTACCTTCCTGGCAAATTTTTCCAACCCAAATCGGAAAATTGCACAATTTATAAAGAGAGGAATTTAATTAATTTGGAAGACCACCATACCAATCTTCTTACCATAGGCTACACATTAGAAGTTGGCACATTATTCATTTAATAAATTAATTTGTTAAAAGGGAACAAAGGAAAACAGGGGACCCTGTTTTTGATAGGCAAAGCTTTCTCCAAAGGTGTATACTTCATTGGAAATTATCAACCATTTTATCCAAAACAATACCAAGAGAAAGGTAAGAGTATATAAATTCACAACTAAAGAAACCCAGAACAGCCCAGCAAACACTATTGGAAATTAATATATATCTATTGATTAAATTCCAGCCAATACACCAGTTAATTCTACCAACGAAAATCAACATCAACAAGAACAGAATAGTAAAATAAGACGAACCAGCATCTCCCCTGCCAACTTTCCCCTTTTTACTTTTTCAGATATCCCCCAATTCCCACCGTCTCCCCTTTTATCCTATTCTTCATAACAAACTTCTTCAATCATCCACTCCCTTAATACCATCTGTCCCTCCATAAACCATCCTTAACACCTCACACACAAGAACCTTCCTGCCAACTGCACCAAAATCCCCTACTTCACACCCTTATGTTTCCTACAATAGACTAGCACACTAGGGGTCTCATCAAAAACATTGACAGTAGTTATTGCATGCTGATGACAAGCAATACACAACCTTTATTACAAGAAAAAAGCCATATTCTTCTTGGGTGATCACTGGAAAAGATGGATTCATCAGCATCATACTTCATCTGTTCATGACAATAGAAGATTTACATCCCTCAGCTAAATTAATTCATAGGATAAGTAAAAAACAAATGTACAAAAAGAAACAAAAAAACTGATAATTTCGTTTTCGGAAGCAGCAGGTGGTTTCCGGTGACCGGAGACTTTTTCGGCGTGTTACGGTAACAAAATTGATATTAAAATGATGGCCTCTAAATTATCTATCTGTCTATATAACTTTAAATTACAATTTAGATAATTGATGATTAATTACAATTACTACCAGATTAGAATATGCTAATCCAACTATTAAATTATTTTTAGAAAAAAGTTTATTTTGTTTACTCATAAAAAAACTGCAATATTTAATAGCAGAGAAGTAAATTTAAGAGAAACACACTAGTCAAAAGACTTCCTTGTTTTAGGAGACTGACCTGTTGATTATATGAGTGATGGGGCTACTCGTTACTCGGCCTCAATTTCTTCAATAGCTTCTCAAAATCTTCTGCTGAAAGAGATGACAAATATTTACTAGTGTAACTAAAGTATCCTCCTCTAATTGTATGTTTATAGCTGACACGTACTTGTGGAATGTGTTTATCAACATTCTTCCAGCTCTCATTTTTTATCATGCAATAAACCTCCTTCAACATCATTTCAAATACAAGTTTCTTTAGGTTATTGAGATGCTCAATTCCAGTTGGAATCTCCTTCATCAATGGGCATGGTCCAATCGACAAGTATGTAAGACTAGGCATTGCACCTTTCTCTATCATCATGCATTTCAATCCTTTGAAGTCCCAGAGATATAAGGATTGAAGCTTTGGAAACCAACCTTCTTTGAAATGCAATTGCTCATCACAGTCACGCACAAAGAGCATAAGCACCAATAAATTAGGCAGAGCTTGAAGGATTGTCATGGAATCATTGGTTGATCGATTCAAATACAATTCTAATCTGGTTAGGTTTTGAAGTTTAGAAATCCAAACTGGTAGAATTTCAATGAACATCCCTCCCAAAGTAAATTGCTGAAGACATAAAGGAGGAGAAGCCAAGGATTGTATATCAACAGGCTCTTCTGCACTTGTAAACGCTGATACAGTCAAACCGTCAAGCTTTTTCATATTCTGGACAATAGCAAAAAAATCCTTCACATCTCTATTTGCAACGTCAATGCCCAACTTTCTGATCTGTCTCAGTTTCTTAAGCTCTTCAAGTACTTCAGTGTTTGTATATACATACTTCAGCTGCTGCAACTCTGTTAAAGCCCCAAAACCTTCTTGTATTTTTGTCATTTCTCCATGAGGACCTTTGCTGTCCAAGCGTCGTACAATTAGACAACGCAATTTTTTCAAATTCTTGATCTCAACTGGGAGCTCACTCACAAAAGTTCACTTCAAATCAAGAGTCTCTAAGTTGAGAAGCATGCCTATGGACTTGGGAAGTTCTTTAACTTTTGTATTTTTCAAACTTAAGTAGTGCAAATGGAAGAGCTTTCCCACTCTATCAGGAAGACAATCCAAAGGGGCATTTTCAAAATCAAGTATCTTTAAGAGCTTGAAATCAGCAACATATGTAGTCACGAAAGTCTCGAGCAGTTTGTCTACATTAAAAAGACAAATGGAGCGGATTTTTGAATTTTTTATGCTCTCTAAAACACCATTAGCGCATTTGTCAATTGAAATACGCCGAGTTTTACTAATGTGACTCAAGCCTTTTTCGTTAAAGAAATGACAAAAATCACATTCCTTCATCTTTCTGCGAATGATCTCGTACATCAGATCATGAACTCTACTACTTTTAGCTCGTCCAGAAGCTTTTCTCTTTGAAACTTGAACCAAGTTTCTATCAATAAGTTCTTTCAAGTATTCTTGTGCAACATACTCAGATGGAAGGTTGTTGTTGCATTGGACAAAGCCTTCAGCTATCCAAAGGCGAATTAATCTCCCAACTCTAATTTCGTAGCCTTCTGGAAGCACACCAAAGTATAAGAGACATGACTTGAGATGGTGAGGAAGATCATAATAACCTTCAGACAAAACTCTATTGCAATCACTAAGATGGGAATCACTACTTAATATTGAGCCCAAGCTACCTAGTATATTTTCCCATTCAGAAACAATCTTGTGTTTCCTTGAGAGAAGCCCACCTATTGTAGCAATTGCTAGAGGTAGACCTCCACATTTTCCAACAATAAGTTCCGATAATTTCGTCAAACTCCCATAGAACTATTCACGATAGTTTAAATAGCTACAAAACAATTTTATGTACATGCATTGTCATAGAAAAAACCAACTGAATCCAGGGTAAAACAGGGAACTTGTTTTTGATTGGCAGAAGGTATTCAAAGAAAGGCTTATACTTTCTTCAAGCTTCAATGGAAATGGCCACCAATAAGCTTCCACGGAAAGTGCAAAACTATACCAAGAGAAAGAGAAGGGTTTAATATCTCTTGAAAGACATAGCGGAATTGGATATAAGTTACCAAACAAAATAACTACTACAATAACATAAGCAAACAAAAAATATGAGCAGATGATACCAGTGAGAACTTGATAAATTATAATAATGTTGAAGAAAACTTGTCAAATCAAATGTATTCGATTATTACACAAGGAAGTTGATGAACAACTGCAATTAATGTTGCATCTCTATTGGCATTACCCAGATAATTGAAATATCATGCAATACTATACCATTCATAAGAAAGATTTTTTCATCATGTTCCCACTATCAAAGATATGGTGTTTGTTCATGATAATAGGTGAAACACAAGACAGTTTGTTAGTTATGGATTTCGATTTTCTAAATGCTTCTGGAAAACTTTTAAGGAAGAACTTTAAAGATCATCAACAGTTTATCATCAAAGGGATTCTCCTATTAATAATTAACGGTAACCATCTCTCTATGGTGATTAAGAAATCAAACAAAGTCCACGATCTATCTTGCATTTACTATCTTAAACAAGAAGATGGTAATTAAAAATAAGACTGATTAATTAAAACAAGTTGAATATATATTGCCACCAAATGTCAGTTGCAAGGCTTACTCTTTTGAAACATAATTCATTACCCAAGAGCCATATAGAACTACAACTAGACTCCCTCAACATGTTTCTTCTCAATACTAATAACAGCCAGTGAAATCATTACATCATTGAGCCCACAATAACTTTTTGAAAAAGAAAACCTTACAATCAATGAATATATTGACAACTTTTTATATTGATAAATGTAAGTATCTTTAAGGGTAATTAATTCCATGGACAGGGCAAAACAGGGGACCAGTTTTTTAATTGGTGAAGGTGTGTTCTCAATGCAACACTCAACTTACTGCCACAGTCGATTTCTTAAGAGTCTGAAATGTGTGCAAATGAAGAGATGGAAATTGGTGTTAGAGTTGTCTTAAGATTTAGGTGAATTTGTGATAAGAGTTTGGAAGAAGAAGAAAGAGACTCAGAAAATGAAGAGTTTGAGAGGTTTCTTCCTTTTTCTCTCAACACTTCACTATGAATAATAAAATGGAAAATGGACATCCAAGAGTCAAGTGTTCTTTATGAAAGATTAAGAAAAAGTAAAAGTCTGCAACTTTGGTGTTAAAGTCTTGGCTCCACCATTGCAACAATTCACCTTCATAGTGGTTGCTTTTTTAAAGTAAAAGTTGGTTGCTTTTTTAATGTCTTGTTTTTTCTTCCTAGTGGTTCATGGTGTGTTTTGTTTGTTTTTTTTAAAGTAAAATGGCCAGGTATGCTGTTAGGCTCTCCAGTTTTAGTTTATGTCTGTCAAACTCCCATAGAACTATTCACAGTAGAAAAAACCAACTAAATCCAGGGAAACAGGGTAAAAGGGGACTCGTTTTTGGTTGGCAGAAGGTGTTCCAAAAAAGGCTTATACTTTCTTCAAGTTGCCAACAATACGCTTCCACGGAAATTGCAAAACTATACCAAGAGAAAGAGAAGAGTTTAATATCTCTTGAAGGACATAGTGGAATTGGATATAAGTTACCAAACACAATAACTATTACAATAACATAAGCAAACAAAAAATCTCAGCAGATGATACCAGTGAGAACTTGGTAAATTATAATAAAGTTGAAGAAAACTTGCAAAATCAAATGTATTAGAGCATTACACAAGAAAGTTGACGAACAACTGCAATTAATACTACATCTCTACTGGCATTACCCAGATAATGGAAAAAATAACACATCAACACAACCACAACCAAATCAAATAAAAACGTTACACATTTTCTCCGATGACAAATATCGTTAGCAATACTACACAAGGAAAGATCTTATGCTCTCCAATTCACTTTTGATGCTTTCAACTTCTTTCTTTGCACTTCCCAACAACAGCTTGGTTTCTTGGACAAGCAAAGAACCCAAGGTTTCTATAGCAAAGTTCACTGTAAATTCTGCCATATCTGATAACCTTTTTCTTGATCACTCCATGGTTAAGATGTTTGCTCATGGATACATTGTTGTGTGTAAATCGAAAATTTGTTTCAGGAAACCAGTGGTTACTGTGCATGCAAATGGCTAATCTGCCCATGAATCCATGATATTTACTGCAAGGGATAATCTTCAATAATGTCATTTCGGTTAGAGCTTTTATTGCAGAAGATGTTCAAAATGAAATACATGGAAGGGAGAAATTTGTGAGGACTCTGTTAAAAGGGAATAGAGGAAAACAGGGGACTCTGTTTTTTACAATTCATTTGACCTTTTTTAATTGAAAGAGTAAAACAGTTAATACTTTCTTTAACTTTCCTCAACAGATTCCCTTCGACATGAGGAGGGCCTTTCCGATTCAACTGAAAGTCTATTGAACCGAGGATGAAGCTGCCTTTGAGCTGAGGATGACCTCTCCCAATGCTTTGAATGTCGGTTATGTCTTACATCCATACGACCCTAATAGAAATAAACAGTCACTTTAGTCAGCATCAACTTTCTAGATTGTAAATTGTCTAAATTTTTTCAGGTTCCCCAGTCTTCAAAAAGAGTGACACATAAAATAAAAAACTCTTAACAATTCATATAATACGAATTTGTTTTACTTACAAGGGATTTCAAAGGCTGAGCAGTCTTGTTTACTTCCGGCTCATCTTCCCACTATTAAGTATATACGTATCAAGAGGAGACATGTCTTCTATCCTGCAAACTTCTTCAAGACCGTATTAATTGAGTTACTTTTGGAAAAGTGAACCATTAAAGATTGAAATTACCTTTTGCTTACCCTTTCCCAGTTCTTGGTGGGTCATGGATTTCTGGAAAAAAATTACATTCAGATTTTGAGGACTTCTTAATTTAAAACAAATTATAGGATCCCTCCTGAATATTTTTTTTATGCAACTGGTGCAGCCATATTTTTCTTTATTTTGAAGATTTCCAGCATCCACATCAGCAATTTCCATGACCAGCATGTGTCTTTAGCAGATATCCATAATCTGTCGATGATTTATCAAGCATACCATTGTTGAAACGCCAAACTTGTACCATAGTAAGCTCTTATATGGATTAAAAAAGAAAGAAAGAAAGAAAGAAGCAGCAAAAATATTTTGTAACAAAAATGTAACAAGTATTTACAAGAAATGTTCCACCATTGGAGACGGACATGGGCTATTCCCATCACTGACATCAATGTATTAACATCTTTCAGAGGAGGTAAAGCTTGGCACGAGTTGCTTATGTCAAGAAGTGCTCACAACACAGAAAATGATCCTATATCAACCCTAAGGTGTCCTTAAACATATCAACCCTAAGTGCAGAAATATGAAATAAACAGAATCAATTGCTTACTTCAAATGATTCATTGCAAAAAAAAAATAAAAATAAAAAAATTTCGGAAAAAATTTCTATGCTGAAATTGTTTTGCAACTTAACGGTGAAACTAGAAACAAGATCTGGAAAACAAGCTATTCAATGATAAATTTCTGAATAGCAATAATTTCAACATTTATTAAGTCCTACATGAAAAGAGAAGGTCAAGTGAAAAGGTCGAATACAATAAATGACAATTACCAGTATGTCTGAAGCTAATCGCTTCAACTTCAGAGTAATCTCCAATGCAGACTCCCCAGTAGAAGACTCAAAACTAAACCGATCAGCATGTCTTACCTTGAGGCTCAATGATGAGCTTTCACACAACTTAACTTCTGTGTGCGAAACCCCTCTAACACGGTACCAAACCCTCGAGTTCGACTTCCCTAGGGGCCATCGCAAACCACCCTTCACTCCTGGATCTAAAACAGCTGAATTAATCAGCAAGGTTTTTGCAATTTAACACTCAGGATCACACCTGTAATGATATATATACGTGGGTTTATTAGATAATTATCTAAAGGCTAAGTCAAATTGACTTGTTTGGTTTATATCAGGGTTTCTTACTCCTGTATAAGCAAGTCCTCTACAAACAATTCAAAAAAGTTGAAAACTATTTCTTTTTTCTTCTTCTTTTAATGGTGAATTCCATTTAAATGTTTCTAGGAAGACTTCGAAAAAGGTCTTAATCAGATTCTAAAAATTTCTATCCTTATCCTGTTTCATCTTTTCCTGTTTCTATTATAGTAGTTCCATCATTTTTTACATCAAAATTCATCTCACAAACTCAATTCAATCTATTTTCTTTTTATTCAAAAACGTAGATATAGGTACCTCTGACAGCTTCTTTTAGCTCTACAGTTCCTGGTATAATTAACTTTAGCAAAATCCTTGTTTCATTGACTTTTCTAAAGCAACCAACTCTGAATGTTTAAGAATCATGATAATCAAATTGAGGCATCGACCTCCATCATCCTATCTGCACAACACTGATTTATTTTTATAATAGGTTAAAATAATGGCAACATTCATGCAAAATCTGATATATTATCCACATAAATAAGCATGTAAGTAACAGAAAACTTGCCTTATAGAGCTCAAACGTTTTATCTTCTTTTACTCTACATTTGCATAAAATGATTGACTTTCATCATGTGCTGTCAATCACCTAGACAATGAAATTTAAGTCAATAGCTATATTATCTGAAGTACAAGTAGCATGATTGTAATTGACAGGTGTTTAGAAGAACAATTACCCAGATATAGTATACATCCTTATCTGCTTCAAAATCAACTGCTATTTTTGGCACAACTTCACTTATAATGTTTTCCATATAAGATGTAGGAACATTTGTGTAAAATGTTCTCCTCAATCATTTCAAAGCGGTTTCAGCGACTGGATCTTTTTTGATCTTTTCTATGTTCACATAATAGGTCCTGCATCACAAGATTAATCTTATAATAGCTGCATAGTCCAAATTTTTTGTCACCAACTATTAGTACATATGTTTGCTTCACATTACAAACTAATTGAGCTGCAGACATGACTAGAAGAGGAAATACTGGTACATAAGAGTATCATCAAATATATGGTTAGAAATAGGTCAGCCGGCAGATTGATTGTTTTCCCCATTAAATATGTTCTGTGACTGGTCAGTTAAGAAAAAGTAAGGCAGGAGAAATGATAAATGAGTTACTATGTATATAGCACCAACAATCAAGCAATTCTCAGGTAAGGCAAGGCATCAACAGCAGTGCTAGATATGTGCTTTTGCAAAGTGTTTCCGTCTTCACAAAGGACAATGGAAGTCAAACGAAGGGTTTGAGTGAACTAGTAAATCATAACAAAAAAAGTGGCCAATTCCAAGGCAAAGAGGTAGCATGCATGATAAATCATTGTTTTAATTTTCTTTACTTTCGCTTTTTAAGAAATATTACTCAAAGTTTCTGATCCAGAGATTTAATTCACTGCTATCCCTTCCATGGGAATAGGTAGGGCACAACCTCATAATTTCCCTCTATTTAATTCTTAATTGACCATAAGATTCTATAAGATTCTCATGACAGTCTCAATCATTTTGGTTTATGTAACATTCCTAAAGAAAGAGAAATCAATGATGCATTATATAACATTCAAGCCAATAAAGCAAATAAATTCTTTACCCACAAAAAGAATTTTGCCAAATCTAGCGACCAATGTTGGCTTTACTTTCTCCAACTCTTTGCACTCGATTCTGTTCCTCAGATTGTTAAAAGAAGTAAATAAATCTGGCCATGCATTTTTAGCAACAAACTCCCAAGGTCATCTTGATATATTCCCTCCCACTTCATCATTACCTACAAAAAAGAGAGAAAACGATCAACACTACTACTTTAAACACTAGAATGAAATTCAAAGAGAAAAGTATAATACATTAAGACGATACTAAACAGGGCATAACACCACCTTTATCTGCCTGATTGTTCACTAAAACTAGGGACTTTTCTCCTATAGTCCGCTCAATGGGTTCTGAAATCGGCTCAAGGTAGACAAATGACGGAAATTGGCAAGTATCATCCAAATCAACAACAAACCATCTATATACCCATTGGTCTGCATAGATAATCTTCCGAACCCTGTCTACATTATGCCGAGATGATCTCAAGTTCAAATCTCTCTTGAATTGTGGAGCAAGCAGCTCTGCAGTTAGAGATGGACGGTTCAAATCCTTTGAGTGTCGCTTGTGTGGTGGAATATAATTCATAAAGATATAGCAACAATCTTAAACCCTGTTAGAATCAATCTTCAACAACGGAACTTTGCCAAATAAAACCACTCTCCCAATTAACACCCAATTCTTGCAAAAATCAACAAAATAATAGAAAAAACCCAAAGCCTTTTGATACTCTAACCTCAAAACCTCTGAAAATAATAGTGAGAATTAAAAAAAAAAAAAAAAACAAAAAACAAAAAACAAAAACAAAAACAAAACTAAAACAACATGCAAGAAATGTTTCTCTTACTTTTACTAACAATTACATATTTAACCAATACACATAATGGCTTGCCGTTTCCTAAATCTTGCCTCATGCATTGTTACCATTTTTAGGTAGATTCAGTAGCATCTATAATCACAAAAGAAGGTGATTATTATGAGAATAAAGAAAGAAAATCTAAAGTTTTCATACATAAGTCGTCAAAACATATGATCCAATAATTTACAAACAATTGAAAACCATTGTAACCTAAAATTTTGACTTCAAACGAGATACAAACTCTCAGTCCATCTTGAATTGGAAATTTAAGTGCTGTTTAAGTTAAAATTTTCAGTCACCCTTTATTAACAGTAGAGATTACACCAAAATAAAAGAATATTTACCTTTTCTCACTTTCTTGAGTTTACTTATGAACCAATCATACAAGCAGTCAAGTCCAAGAGAAGCACATAAACGGAATGTAGAATCCAACAATTTAAGAGGAAGAAGAATTCATGAGCATAACAAAACATGCAGGAAAGGGAAGATAAGATAAAATACCAGAGAGTTCAAAGGGTTTAGAGGGTAAAGTGGATGATCTTGAACAGGCACGCCAAGAAATAGAAGAATCGCAGCCATGTGCTCTTTCATCAAGAAGATATAAAAGTGGGGTTGGGTAAAGTAAATGGAGAAATTGAAAAGACTGCTTTTACTAACAGTGGATTTGATGGAAGTGAAAGTGAAAGTAGAAAGAGAGTGGTTTAGGTTCCAGTGTTCCACTATCCGAGAAAGAGAATGCCACTGGGCACTGACCGGTCCAGGGCGAGGAGGACGGTTGGTAAAAACCGGGGTACAAACCGGTCGGACCGGGTCCAAGAAAGTCCAAAGTTAATGCGGTTTTATGTTTGGGCCTCAATCAATATCAATTGGGCTGGTACTTCACACTCCAAAAGAGTGGCCTAGGCCTGCTTAAAAGAGGATACCCTAAGTCTAGGATAAGTCATGTTGGCCTGCAAAAGAGAAGCGTCAAGAAGGGGATAGTAAGGGTTTCGGGTTATTGGGTGTTCTCTCCGATACTCAAGTCAATCTATAGTCGAATCAATGGTTTATTAAGTGTGCATTTACTTTAGAAAAATGAGAAAGAATAGTTCTCCCTTTTAGATGAAAAAAAGCAGTAAAAGTCCATGATATTACGATAGTATTAGTGTCATAAGTCAATATATGCATACATACTAAGTAATTATTTCATTTAATAAGTATCAATTTACATGATATTAGACATTGCATACTGATAACAAGTAAATGCTACACCATTATTGATGACACTACATACATGAATTACAATTTACAAGCAATATAGAACCTTTATTACAAGAAAAAATCATAGTCATCCTGGGTGATCACTGGAAAAGATGGACTCATCAATATCATTCTTCATCTGTTCATGAGAATAGAAGATTTACATCCATCGGCTAAATTAAATCAAGGGATAAGTAAAAAAAAAAAATTAAAATAGAAAAAAAAAACTGATAATCTCGTTTCCGATAGCAGCGAGTGGTTTCTGGTACCCGGAGATTTTTTCGGCGTGTTACGGTAAAAAAATTGATATTAAATGATCATCTATAAACGATCCATCTATCAATATAATATTAAATTGGAAAAAATGATTGCGTTTGGTTGGGATCTGACCGATAAAGTGTGGCCACCCAAACTTTCTCCATCAGATCCTAGACAAACGTTGAATATATTGCAAAATATAATTGCAGACATAGATAGATCGTTAAACTTGAATTATTTTTATACCAATATTGTTACCTAATATCGCCAAAACATTCTCTAGCAATGGACCTATGGATGCCAATACCGGATTCTGACACCGGAACTTGATCAATTAATTAAGATAATTTTTTAAAAAAGTGTTTTAAATAAAATAAATTATTAAGAGTATTTTTATTTAAGTTTACTTTTATTATGATAATTAGACTTGTGTATTTATAAAAACAAATTTCAGATAATTGATGATTAATTACAATTACTACATATTAAAATTAATCCAACTATTAAATTATAAAAAAAAAAATGTGAAATAATTGATGCTCGTAAAGAAGATTTGTTGTATAGAGAATACAACAAATATTATGAAAGAAATTAAACTTCATATAGTAGGCATAACCTAACATTTAATAGCAAAGAAACGAATTTAAGAGAAACACACTATTCAAAAGGCTTACTTGTTTTGGGAGATTGACCTGTTGATCCTCCAGTGATGGGGCTACTCGTTACTCAGGCCTCAATTTCTTCAATAAGCTTCTCGAAATCTTCTGCCGAAAGAGATGACAGATATTTACTAGTGTAAAAATAGTATTCTTGTCTATCTGCCTCTTCATAGAGGACATCTATTTGTGGAATGTGTTTAGTGACATTCTCCCAATTCTCCTTTTTTATCATACAATAAACCTCCTTCAACATCATGTGAAATTCAAGTAACTTTAGGTTATTGAGATGCTCAATTCCAGTTGGAATCTCCTTCAACAATAGGCATGGTCCAATCCACAAGTATGTAAGACTAGGCATTGCACCTTTCTCTATCATCATGCACTTCAATCCTTTGAAGTCGTACAGATACAAGTCTTGGAGCTTTGGAAACCAACCTTCTTTGAAATGCAACTGTTCATCACAGTCATCCACAGTGAGAATAAGCACCACTAAATTAGGCAGAGCTTGAAGGATTGTCATGGAATCATTGGTTGATCCATTCAAATCTAACTCTAATCTGATTAGGTTTTGAAGTTTACAAATCCAAACTGGTAGAATTTCAATAAACATCCCTCCCAAATGAAATTGCTGAAGACATAAAGGAGGAGCCAAGGATTGTATATCAAGAGGCTCTTCTCCACTTGTGAACACTGACACACTCAAACCTTCAAGGTTTTTCATATTCTGGACAACAGCAAACAAATCCTTCACGTCTCTATTTGCGACATCAATACACAAGTTTCTCATCTGCCTCAGTTTCTTAAGCTCTTCAAGCACTTCAGTGTTTGTATATACATACTTTAGCTGCTGCAACTCTGTTAAAGCCCCAAAACCTTCTTGTATTTTCGCTCTATCTCCGTAAGGACCTTCGTTGTCCCAGCGTCGTACAATTAGGCAATGCAATTTTTTCAAATTCTTGATCTCAACCGGGAGCTCACTCACAAAATTCCACTTCAAATCAAGAGTCTCTAAGTTGACAAGCATGCCTATGGACTTGGGAAGTTCTTTAACTTTTGTATTTTTCAAACTTAAGTAGTGCAAATGGAAGAGTTTTCCCACTCCATCAGGAAGAAAATCCAAAGGGGCATTTTCAAAATCAAGTATCTTTAAGAGCTTGAAATCA